TAACCCCAGAAGCTAAAATGCTACCTATAAGAAGAAGTTTCCCCCCCACTCAATAAATACAGTGCAGAACAGGAATAAAATGGTCAGAGTCAACAGGTTAAAAGGCATCATTAAATAAACACCACAAATTAATTAATCACACATCAACCAACCAAACATAAAAGGGCCTTGCCTTCCTGTGCATAAAACCATTCACACCATAAAATTGACTAAACCCTATTTGGAAAACAATACAATAAATAGGGAACATAATGCTAGGTAAACCTCTTAACATAAAAGCAAACGAGGCAAAACATCACATAAGCAACGCAGCAGTGGCTATCACCCCTGCCACAAGTAAAGCCACTGTTAATAAATAACATAGACCCCATCAAAACAATTAAAACCAACAATGCTACAGGTTACCTTGGCTGCACGTCTCCCTAGCATACATGTGCGATGGACGTCAACTTCTACTGGATCACGCTCGCATCAATTATCGCTCCTGGAGAGCATGGGGCAATCTCCTAAAAACAGTCTACAACCCAAACAACCTGATTAAACATTTTACACTCCAACAGATCCGATCTACAATCAGCCCGTTGGACATACCTTAAAAGAGAAACGGGACACAGCTCAATGGAGGGAGATTCACTTCAGACCGGTTACGGCAGCGACCAGCACAAACATTGCTTATCGCAACAGTATCTTCCCAGGTGTTATTTATATCCATCTAACGGACTTGTATTTGGACGTGTTTTGGATCACCTCTGTTGTATGTGTTTGCTGGCTCTGACCTCGGACTGCTAATAAGGACATGTGAGTTTTTTGTGTTTTTCACCATGTCTTGTGTGTTTTTTTTTTTTTTTTTGTTTACGTTAGTTCTCTTATTAAAGAGACGGGTTTTGTTTTACACTTCCTCGTCTGGCTATTTAATTGAGTTCACCTAACACTTTTCGGCCGCATCGCGCGCCGTTTCTGACATTATGATACATTTTTTTTTATTTAATCTGGTTCTGAAAAGGGCAGCATGGTGGCATGGTGGGTAGCGCCGTTGCCTCACAGCAAGTAGGTCGCGACCTTTCTGTACGGAGTTTGCATGTTCTCTCTGGGTTCTCCGGCTTCCTCTCACTGTCCCAAGACATGCGGCTTAGATTGACTGGTGACTCTAAATTGCCTGTGTGTGCGTGTTGGCCCTGCGACCTGTCCAGGGTGTACCCCGCCTTTCGCCTGATACCGGCTGGGATTGGCTCCAGCACCCCTGTGCCCCCGTTCGGGACTAAGTGGTATAGAAAATGAGTGAATGAATGAATGGTTCTGAAAAGTAACTGGTAACTAAAGTCATAAAATAAATGTAGTGGAATAAAAAAGTGCATGTAGTTAAATTGAAATATGAAGCAGCACAAAATGAAAATACTTAAGCACAGATATCTCAAACTTGTATTTAAGTACAGTACTTAAGTAAATGTCCTAGGTTTTCCTTGGGGCCTCCTCCCCCCTAGGAAGACCTAGGACACACTGGAGGGACTTTGTCTCTCGGCTGGCCTGGGAACTCCTTGGCATTCCCCCGGAGGAAGTGTCTGGAGAGAGGGAAGTCTGGGCATCTCTGCTTAGACTGCTGCCCCTGCGACCAAGTTCCGGATAAGTGGAAGAAAATGGATGGACTTAAGTAAATGTCCTTAGTTACTTTCCACTACTGCTAAGAGCCACAGTCGCTCAAGGTTTTACAGAATCATTGAGCCTTTTTAAAATTTCATTACAGTATATAACACTTTTAAAGATTTACATTTCAGTAGGAATGAATAGGCTTGGTACTGGAGTACTATACACAGAGTAGGGAAGTACTGAGAGATGAGGTACAGTACTTTTGGTCTTTTCACAGAACTTGCTGACAGTAAGAAGAATATAGAATAACACCAGCTTTATCTTTTAAAGAGCACATAAAAATTTGATAGATTTAATAAGAGAATTGTAAAACACAACCTTTGTCATTCACTCACATAAAGATCACTCTTTCATTGATGAAGAGTTCAACAGCAGAGAGATTGCCAAACACCATGTTAATGGTAAGGAAGAAGAAGGCTCCACTCCTGTCATGGATCGAGAGAGAGTTATCTGGTCAATTCATCTGATGGACACTTAACCTGAAAATATTAGCAAATGCCACCTGACCTGTGCTTTTCTCCATAAATTACTGCATCATAAAAGTTATTTCCATATCTTGAAGCCATGGCTTCTTATCTGGTGCCTTTACTGCATTATCTTATCAACGCTTCCATACAGGACTTGACCTTTATGTATGAAGTGAATCACATTCTTTTATTTTTTTTTTGTATGTATGAGGTGAATCGCATTCTTTTATTTTTTTGTCATTCTTGCCTTGATACCTCAATCAGTTATTCTGTTTTTCTTACAGCTTTTTGTAAGATGGAGATTTTCATATTTGTTATCTTGCCACATTTTCCTGCCTATGGCAAACAGGAAAACCTGTTGCTTATTTCCGGCTGTTTTCCAAAAGTAGATCCGTTGTAATTTGACCCTGAGATGGGCCGAGGAAAGGTGACACATTTACAGAGTGAAGAGTGTGCAGAGGTGAAAATAGAGCAGACAGACCATCTTAAAACTATGTAGGCTGGTTGGTTATGCTTACAGTACCGGTTCTGAAAAGCCTCGGGCATTGTCCAGGGCATTTGGTAATAAATGAGTCCCACCAGAATTGCGAAAATGATGTTGAGACCCAGTTGTGCATAAGAGGTTTGAGGGTTTCTCAGAATGTTCAGCATTGTCCTGCCACACACTACACGCATCTGTCTCTCACACACACAAGACACACATTTTTAATGGCATGATGACCGTTATAAACAGGGTTCACTCAGGGGGCAGCCAAGCACACTAACATAACAGCTGGCTGGCACAGTCATTAAACTCTTCAACATAACATCATAAACTCAGTTAATGGCAAACAATAACTGATTTTAATTCCCTCAACTAGATCATGATTTAATATCATTTTTGATGTAAGAAACATGTTGTGCTTAGAGTTTTTAATCTGTTTCTGATTTGCAGAGTTGGCTGACCTGATAGAGGAAAGAGGTAGCGTAGTCGACCACCTCATCTTGACCTTTGACCTCTTCAGAAATGGTCTGTGTCACATGGTCTAACTCCTCAAGACCTGTCTGGTACAGTTGTGACTGCTGATATTTTGTTGCCCATGGGTTTTTATATTCAGCTGTGGAAAGACAGAGCAGCCATTAAACAGTGTAAAGTTGTAGCTAAGAACAATCGTCTCTTTTTTTAATTAACTCTTAATTTTATCATTAACACAGTAAACAGGGTTTGGTTATCTGCATGTCTGGGCTCTTTCTTAACATCAAGCAAAACCCGATTTATATTTGGATATTTTTTAGACATCTTGGCGGATATGTACAGCAAGTACTGTTTTCAAAAGCTTTTCAGTGTCTTTAGTTAAACATACAGTAAATTATAACATAGTTGCATGTTAAAATACAAGTATCAAATGATTATATACATGATCCCTACAAATGTCATCATCGGATTAACAAGACACATGTTTAATGGGTTGCTGGTGTTTTATACTTTATGTGCATGTGTCTTTTCATGGTGTTGTACCTATTGTGAATGACTCGAGTGAGGATATTGCTTCCCCATTTGTGATGTCCATGAAGAAATCAGCAGGGTTGTTGAAGGGCTCGATATGGTAGCCTGTCCAAAAAAACATATGAAACACATCATATCCACAACTTATGCAACACTATAAAAATGCTTCTACACGGGCAAGTGACCTGGAAATAAAATGTTTCTAAAACTAAGGAATCATTTGCAGATTTTTGTAAGACATGAGATGAACTAGAACCCCTGGTTACAAACAACCATCAAGTGCAACAAATGGACAATTATAAATATCTGGGAGTGATAATCCCTGCATCCTTAAAATGAGGGGATAACGTTTTATTCACGACAGCTGGAAAAATGTAGCGTGTCTGATGTGCTTTTATCATGCAGGAGTGTAAAGTATTTTGGCCTTTGACAATAACTGTCTGGTTTGGATATGTGTGCAGAAAATAAGACAATATTAAATAAGGTTGTGTGACATAACTTATTGGGTGTGATCCTACACAGCAAGATTACAAAATAAAGGGCGTAAGATTTTGAAAGATCCTTCCCATCCAGCTCACAGCCTTTTGAACTTCCTTATGCAATTATGCAATTTCCCAGATTGGGATTAATAAAATATTTCTATCTATCTATCTATCTATCTATCTATCTATCTATCTATCTATCTTCCCTGTCACAAGAAGCTTAGAGGTATTAAAACATGAACAACCAGATATCAGAGTAGCACGTATCCTGAAGCTGTCAGGCTATTAAATACTGCTGACTCCACACTGCTGGTCGCTGGGTAGGTTTTAATAGAAGGTCATCTGGAGATTGTTTTATTATACTAACTGTCTTCAGAAATTATTTATTTTTCATAATTTTTATTCAGTCAATTCTTGTATCTTGAGGTAGTGTGTCATTGTCATTGTTGTATTGTGAGCCTATCAAGACAAATTCCAGTCAACAGTGTTGATATGGCAATAAAGTACTGAAACTTGAAACAAACATTATACTGACATAGAATTTGAGGATTTAAATAAAAGAGTAGTTGATTGCATCTCATATTGTTGTCATGGTCTATTATGTATGAATATTAAAATATAAAACAGCAGCTAACTGTCAAGCATCAGTGCAACATCTTTCCCCTTTCTACATAAGGATTCATCATATTATATTATAACTCACTCCCACTCTGTGTCATTCACCTGTTATAATAAACACACATATTATGTACCGAGGTCTGTGAAGTATTCCACTGCACGGTCTGCCGCTCCTGCATACACCACCTCCCCCTTATGCATCAGAGTCAGGTGGTCAAACTGTTTGAAGATGGAGTAGCGCGGCTGGTGGATGGAGAAGATGACAGTCTTACCTCTCCTAGACAGCCTGTACAAATATTTAAAAATGTCTTTATCCCACATGGCTACAGACAACACAAAGACAGCAGGAGAAAGTGAAGATGTTGCTGATTTGGAGATCTTAGATGATGGCTGCTCTAATTAAAGCTGACAGTAACTAGTACGTCACCTGCTGTTAGAACTCGTCACCTTCAGCAGCATTTTATGCTTAAGTTGCCAGTTGTATCTGATGTGTGAGTGTGTGTTGGTTAATATGCGATTAAGCAGTAAATGCACTGTACTTGTACAGTAGACTGATTATACTGTTTGCAGTGTTCGAATCAAGCCCAGTGGTCGGCTCATCCAGAAACAGCAGAGAGGGAGAAGTGATGAGCTCCATGCCGATGCTGCACCTCTTCCTCTCACCTCCTGATACACCACGCAGGAACTCTGTCCCTATCTGTACACACAAAAACGCACATAAACACTTGGTTGATGAGCTGGGCAGCAAAGCTGGAAATACTGTAACTAAATGTTCTTGTTACTGTAACACAGAAACTTGTTCTGGACTTTTTGGACAAATTTTAATGTCATTTTACTTTTATACCAGTACCTTTTTACTGAAGTGACACACTTCACTAAAGTTAAAATCAAATAATAGTACAAATAAATATTTGCCACACAAAAAGATGGTGCACTGCACTGAACAGCCACAATACCATTAATAGTTTATCAATGAAGAATAAAGGAGTAAGATTTATTTTTCCATGTGTCAAGGAAGTGATAAAGATCATATTTTCCCTTTATGAAAGTACTTTGAAATAGACTACTTTGTACATTTTTTATAAGTGCTTTTGATTTGACCCAGGTCAGATACTGAATCAGAATGAGTTCTTTTGTCCACGTGTGATGGACACACGAGGAATTTGACTCTGGTACATCGGCTCTCAATGTGCAAACAGTAAACCAGAATAAGGCTGTGTAATATATGTAGTGAACAGGACAATACAATTTAATAATGAATGATATACAACTATCTAAATCAGCTTGTGTCTATACCTTAGTGTTAGCACAGTCTGTAAGGCCCAGTTCTTGTATGACTGCATCTACTCTGCTGTGTTTTTCTGTGGCAGAGTGATGCTTAGGGTTGAGACGGAGGTTGGCGCTGAACAACAGATTCTCCCTCACAGTCAAAGTGCCCATCAGGATATCATCCTGGAGAGAGAGAGAGATTGTGTAAACAGAAACTATTCAGAAGAATCCAACGTGTATAATGTCAAAATGTGTGCGCATATGTTTGTATTTGTGTACCTGAACCACATAGGCGGAGCTGAGCCTGAGTTTAGATGTGACAACTCTGCCATTCACCAAGATGCTTCCTTGCCGCAGTCCAGCAGGGTCTTTTCTTCCAGCAATTACATCCAGTAGCCTGGAAAAAAGAGAAAGAAACTAACATTCATGTATATGTGTGAGACCATGCCTGTGTGTTTTACATTTATGTGAACATATTTCTTACGATGTTTTACCACTTCCTGTGGCACCCATGATGGCATTCATCCCAGGTCTCATGATGCCACTGCAACAACCACATTAAATCATTTTATATTAAAAAGAACACTTTAAAATAATAAAATACTGTAGACTGGATTCTGTCCAATGACTATAACCACACAATGATGAACCTTTAATATATGAAATACATGAGTCCCATTTTCATACAAAAGTGAATTAAACTTTTTGAGATTGAATTAGGTCTGTTATATATAAAGCCACATGGGCATTATTGTTTTCATTTTTATTTATCATTTCTTCAGAAGCATTACACATTATGCTGTGAATGCCATTCTTATAATTTATACAGTAATGAGAAATATCTCTCACATCTCAATCATACAGTTTGAAAATCCCTTGCATCTCTGAGAAAATATTTTACAGCCAAACACATTCATCAATGTGCATCAAGTTATCTAACTTAAACACAAATACATGCCCCTGCAAAAGGTCTAAAGAAGATCAACCCTGTTGTTTTCAGTATTTGTATAGAAATGGGATGAAATGCAACGGGAGAAGCACCTTGGGTTTGGGGATCTAACATGTTATATTGTACAGGCAGTAGTGGAAAAAGTACTCAGATTGTTTACTTAAGTAGAAGCAGCAATACCATAGTGTAAAAATACTCTGTTACAAGTAAAAGTCTTGGATTCAAAATGTTACTTAAGTAAAAAAATATTAGCAAAAAATATACTTTAAGTACCAAAAAGTAGAAGCACTCATTAGGCAAAATGGCACAGTTTATATTGATGTACTTCATATCATTTGATTATAAATATTGATGTATTATTTTGGACATATTGGGGACATCACATTTAATGCTGCAGCTGGTAAAGGTAGAGCTAATTTTAACTACCCTACAGTATATGCTCATAGTTTGAATTACTGCTGGATAGCTTGTGAATTTTACACCAGGTCACCATAAATCTTATAATTATACTATATTTCATTTTATTAGCAACTTTCTGAAAAGTAACTAGTAACTAAGGTTATCAAATAAATGTAGTGAGTACAAAGTATAAATTTTTTCTCTGAATGTAGTGAAGTACAGAAAATTAACATACTCAAGTAAAGTACAGTTACCTCAAAATTGTACTTAAGTACAGTATGTGAGTAAAAGTACTTAGTTACTTTCCACCTCTGCATACAGGCACCACTCAGTAGTAATGCTGTTAACTATATATAATGTACGCCTATGTGTGTGTACATACTCACAGTTAAATATCATGTCCTACCTCACATCTTTAAGGATATATTTTTCAGCACCTATCTTGTGGCAGAATCTCCTCTCCTGAACACAGTAGTGCAAGTTTCTGAATGTGACAGTTGGTCCCTGGAAATGCTCCTCAAGACTGCAAACAACCTGCTCCTCTTTAGACATCTCCAAAAACAGCAGTGTTATCGACAAAGATAGAAAAGAAGAGTCAGAGACTGAGGTTCAAAGAGAGAGAAAGATAGAGTGCGACACAGAAACCTGTGCAGTCTGACAGAGATCGACAAGAGAGAATGCAATCAGTACGTTTCAGTCATAACTCATCTAATCTTTGAACTCCCTCAGTTCATAGCCAACAGACTTAGACTGTACTAAGAAATTTTTGATAAAATGATATAGTGTGTGTAACTGCTCCCAAAAAGATACTGTGGCATTAAACTTTCTCCTCTGCATCTCAATCGCTGCAAAAGTGCATTGTGATAATAGCTGATGAAGCAGTTTAGATCATCTGAACAGTGGCTTAGCCATTCATTTATGATCAGTATTTGTTTATGTGAATTCAGGGTCATGGTGGAGCTACAGCAAAAAACAAGGAAATGTCCTCGAGCTGGCAGCATTAATAGTGATAGCCTAGTCTAGAAACTCAACCTTACACTTAAGGGCAATTTCGTAGATCCACACAAATACAGGAAGAACATGCACACAAACATTTAAGGGCACAGGGACAATTTCTTTTCATGACTGCAACTATGCTACCACAATACTAAAATGCTGAACTGAATACTTACAGTAACTTAATCTAATTCACAATTAAAACAGACATATGGATGAGTATACTATAACACCCCCTAGTGCTCGTGTATCACAACAGCTACTAGCAACAGTCACAACTTACTAGCTGTTAAAAAAAATTAAGTGTCATAGCCAGAAAAACACAATGTGCTTTTTCAAAGGTACTCAATTATCTAAAACTGTACTTTCTTACCTCAAAAGGTAATTTTAGTAATAAAATGTGATGACACTGAGTAAAACCCTTGATTTTTCCCACACAAGTAGAGGGTGTAACTGGGCATGTGCAGAATGAGCAACAGTACACCCCCGCCACCACGTCTACTTTTCCTATGCTATTTTAATTAGAATAATTTGATAATACTCCTGTACTTTTACTTAAGTAATATTTAAATGCGTGGCTTTAATCTGTAATATAGTGTTTTACATTAATATATTGGAATTTTTACTCCAGTAAAGGATCTTAGTACTTCCTCCACCTTCCCGTAAACAAGGATGTCCTTATATTTTTGACCACATAGCCATAATCATA